TAAAGGCAGAACGAACGTTTGTTTGGGTGCAGATTATGAAATGTACTAAGCTCCACGGGTATTTGTTGTCATATGCGCATTAATTCAGACTTCCAAATTGTTATTTGGCTAGTGATACCTTTAGATAACATTTGTCTCTAGGTGAAAGTTGACTCGACAAAATGCGCCATCCCATTGTTTAAGTTTTATAAGGTGATAACACCGCCTATACCCGATTTCGCGGATACAACGATACCCCGATTTCGGGGACTATACGCGATTTCACGGATAATACCCGATTTCGAGTATTCTCTCCAACCTGTTTAAAGGAGACAGCTGATATTCTTGTTTCATCAACTTGTTTGTCAATAATTTACCTCGTTTTAGATATTGCACATACGTAGAGCATGCTCTTGCGTATCGAATCAACTGAAAGATATATACCTCGTATGCAGGTGATGAAGGTATATTGCTGCATAAGTAAGGGAAGTTGACGATTGAAAAGTTGAAGTCATCACGTTTCTCATAAAGCTTGGTTGTTAGATTACCATTAACGTCTTTTTCAAGTAAAATATCCAAATATGAAACAGATGTGTCAGACTCTTTGGTATCTTTTATCTCAAGCTCACCAGGATATATCGTATCGACATAAGAATGGAAATAGCCATTGTTAATTGACAATACGTCGCCGATATATCTAAATGTCGAGTTGAAGGCCAAGCAAGTGTTTTCTTCTTTTAACGTACAAGATTTTGGACAAAGTCTGCTTCATATGAATACAAAAAATGTCTGCTAATAACGGGGCGCAATTGGTACCCATGGAAATTCTAATAGATTGTTGGAAGACCTGGTCTCCAAAAACCATATATTTAAGCCATTTTTCAAAATTTATTATTTTATTCCTTGAATGTCAAGATACTCTCTACGGATTAGCACTCGGGTTATAAAAAACCTGGCATCAGGAATATTTTATCGCCAATTTATTTTCTTAATGCCCAAAATATGATATTTTAGTGCCAAAAAAAAATTCTTTAATTTAGGTCCATTAATTTTTTCAGTAATATATATAATTCTAAACCGTTTTGCTTAAAATAAGATTATAATTATTGCCAAGAGATATCTGAAATATATTTCTCACAACATTCCTAATTTAACCAGCGTCAAGAGTGATATTGCAGGTGAGAGATGAAGAAAATCTTTAGAAATGTTAAGTAGGCGCTTAACCGATCTTTTTATTGCTTTCATTGTTTTGGACAGCTGTGCATTAAAAATGCAATATCCTCGAATATTCTACTAAGGACAGATGCTAAAGAATATTTTGGGAAATACATCAAAATATCAAATAAATCTGTATTTATATAAGCAAAATGATTAAGTTAATTGAGTCTAAACCAAACTTTCATTAAAAGGATCTCAATATCTTATAAATTGAAACAAGAGGCCCATGGGCCACATCGCTCACCTGAGCACATTGGCTAGGAAAAAAAAGCAAAAATCAGTACAGTATTGAAAAGTTTACAGGGAGGGGGGAGGTTGAATTTTAAACTACCTGATGAAGCTTTCATATCAATATAACAAATGGCTTTGTTGTTCTTGAGCAGCAGATTTTTTTCCCATATATTCATTTGTAAAAATTTGATCCCCCATTGTGGCCCCACCCTACCCCCGGGGGCCCTCATTTGAACAAATTTCATTCTACACTACCCAAAGATGCCTCCATATCAATTTGATTAATCATGGCTTTTCTGTTCTTGAGAAAAAGACTTTTTCCTATATATTCCTCTGTAAACTTTGATCCCCCATTGTGGCCCCACCCTACCCCCAGGGGTCATGATTTGAACAAACTTGAATCTTCACTATCTGAGGATGCTTCCATAAAAATATGACCAATCATGGCTTTACTGTTCTTAAGAAGAAGATTTTTAAAGATATTTTCCTATATATTTCTATGTAAAACTTGGATCCCCCACTGTGGCCCCACCCTACCCCCGGGGGTTATTATTTGAACAAATTTGAATCTTCACTACCTGAGGATGCTTCCATATAAATATGACCAATCATGCCTTTGCTGTTCTTAAGAAGAAGATTTTTAAAGATATGTTCCTATATATTTCTATGTAAAACTTGGATCCCCCATTGTGGCCCCACCCTACCCCCGGGGGTCATGATTTGAACAAACTTGAATCTACACTATCTGAGGATGCTTCCATATAAATATGACCAATCATGCCTTTGCTGTTCTTAAGAGGAAGATTTTTAAAGATATTTTCCTATATATATATATCTATGTAAAACTTTGATCCCCCATTGTGGCCCCACCCTACCCCCGGGGGTCATGATTTGAACAAACTTGAATCTACACTACCTGAGGATGCTTCCATAAAAATATGACCAATCATGCCTTTGCTGTTCTTAAGAGGAAGATTTTTAAAGATATTTTCCTATATATTTCTATGTAAAACTTGGATCCCCCACTGTGGCCCCACCCTACCCCCGGGGGTCATGATTTGAACAAACTTGAATCTATACTACCTGAGGATGCTTCCATATAAATATGACCAATCTTGGCTTTACTGTTCTTAAGAAGAAGATTTTTAAAGATATTTTCCTATATATTTCTATGTAAAACTTGGATCCCCCACTGTGGCTCCACCCTACCCCCGGGGGTCATGATTTGAAGAAACTTGAATTTACACTACCTGAGGATGCTTCCACATAAGTTTCATCTTTCCTGGCCCAGTGGTTCTTGAGAAGAAGATTTTTAAATGATGCCATTATTTTTTCACGAATTCCTAATTATCTCCCCTTGAAAGAGGGCGTGGCCCTTCATTTGAACAAACTTGAATCCCCTTTACCCAAGGATGCTTTGTGGCAAGTTTGGTTGAATTTGGCCCAGTGGTTCTTGAGAAGAAGATGAAAATGTGAAAAGTTTACGACGACGACAACGACGACGACAGACAACGGACAAATTTTGATCAGAAAAGCTCACTTGAGCCTTTGGCTCAGGTGAGCTAAAAAATGAGAGGAAAATGAGTAATGATAAAAAAGGGGGAAAGGATCACAGAAAATCTTTATTATTTATATTTAAGGTATTTGATTCTACATCATTTACAACCAAATTAAGTCAAACAGATATACAAATTACAATTTTCAGTATCTTGTTTGAAGCAGACTTGATTTATACATTATTAACAACCAAATATGTCCAGAGAAATATATTAATCTATGCATCAAATTTCTTGTTTGTAGCATGTGTCATGTCTAGTATTCTTGGTATGATATAAAAGGAATAATAAATCATGTATTTCTTTAAAAACATATACCTAACGTCTTTGGTTAAATCAACATTTTAGTAGTACTTTAGTACAACTTAAAGCATTTCAACTTAACAAAGGTTGCAAACAGAAATCAATGATAGTAAACAATACATACAAAAATAAAGCTATTTCCTTTGCAAAAGCACTAAAAACTGATGCTAAAAAATAATCGTTCATTATATTTTATATATACGAGGGTTGTCCAAGAAAAACGCGAACTTTTAAACATACGAATTCATAAACGACCTGACCAAAATTATTCATTATTTGAACATTGCTGGGTAATATTTTCTTTTTTTGACAAGATATTATGAAATCGAATATCATATACAAATAGAAACGGCATTTAAAGCGTGTTAGATATTATCCGGCACACGCCTATTTTTTTCACTTTTCGAAATAGCATTTCCATCGAGATTTGTTTATGTACCTGGTTGTACGAAAATACAATGTGACAAATTTTAGATTAAAAAAAAATTATGGTTTTACATACCAAAGTGTGAAAAGGGGTGCAAACGAAAGTATTTTGCTGCCTACCTCCAAGTCAATTTAAAAAAAATAATATATTTGAATGAATAGTCATATTTATATATATTTTTTTTTTTTTACAAACATAATAACCTATTTAGGAAAAAAACTACTGTAGTACTGTATTCATTGTAAAACCTGTTTTTTCACTGTAGAAATCAATTTGAAAATATTTTTAAACCCCCCCCCCCCTTGAAGCAAAAATCCTTTTTACAGTTATTATATATTATTATGTATATTATACATGTATGTATACATTTATATTACTTATTATTATGTTACATATTCATAGGAAAACTTTTGTTTTTTCACCAGGTGTGTACAGAAAAAGACAGCGAAAACTGTAAGGGTCATTTACTTATATTCATGAGGAATGCTTTAATATCTGGTGATACTTGAAAGCCTGATTTCGTTGAGCAACACTGTTTAACCTGTCTCCCCCTTATAAAAAGTTGTAAAAAAGAGCATTTAACGTATTGTCATTTGGCTTAATATTATGAATAAATTAATAATGAATTCTTCTTTGCATTAAAACAAGTTTTACTGGCCAAATTGTCATTTATATTAAATTAAATGGATGTAAAATGTAGGCTGGAATCGAGAGTTAGCGTGCGTAGTTCTTCACTAATATATCATAAAAGATGGCAATTATATATATGACGTTAAATGTAATAACATTTTAGTGATTGTCAAACTTGGCGACATCTGAATCAGTGTGGCGTACCAAATTTTCATTCCAAACTGTATTGAGTGGGATATGACTCCAATTCATATGGGATAAACGTAGGAAACAATATAATGACTCATACAGGTGTCTCGGACACAGGTTTGCACCAATCATGGAGGTTCAATGATAATAAGACTAGAATTCCGATGGTATAGCATTGCTTAGTAGACCCCAAAATCTGAAAAGTCAGGAGCTTTCCCTCAGGCGTTAAGATCGCCTGTTTTATTGCTCGAGAAGCTCAAGATCGGGGCTTCTAAAGTTGTCTGATGAAAGAAATTATTTTCCAATCTTTCAATGCTTAATGCATGTTCTAGATTTTTACTTTGCTTATAATTAACAAGTAAAAATCAAATGTACAGTCGGATTTCTGTGTCATTAAAATATTTATAATTCTAAAAACAAGAGGCATATTTCTTGAACTGATTTTTTTTTTTTTATTACAAACGTCAAAGCTAATTTGCATATTTTGTTTAGAGGAAAATGTTTATTTATAAACTGAGATATTTTGTCGAAATTTCTTTGAAGTATTCAAAAAATAATGCTGCATGCTAATTCTTATTCTTATAAATTTAGTGAAACTAAAATATTAAAATGTTTGCTCTTTTCTTGGACAACCCTCGTAGAAGAGTGACAGGTCAAGCAAGGAGATCATTTGAAATTAATTAATGACTATTACTGCTATAATTCATCATGCATAACATTCGATCGCCCTTTTAAAATGACTCTTTTTAATAGCTCTGTGGTGTCCGGTTTCAGGTTTTCGCCCACTTTTATTGGATTGTCCAAAATTACATATTTTTTGGTGCCAGTGTCATAAGAGGGCCACTGCTCAAGGTCTTCTGAATTGGGATCACTAGGAAAAAAATTAGAAAAACTTCAAACAAATGCAGAAACAATGGAAATTTACATGCTATGGTAAATATGGAAAACAGAAAGCAATACAAAAAGCCATTTTTCTATATTAGGAGGCAAGGGTATGGTGTCCTAAAATTTAAAAACCTACCCATATTTGGCGAAATTAGACCAATACTTGATGACGTCTTTAGACAAGTTCTCTACAGCCATCAGGTCATGTTTTTTCAAAGTCTCCTCTGAGACATGATCGTGAGTCACATTAAAGATAAGATGCAATTCGTCACCGTGACCAGCCCCTTTAAACCAGGATGGTGATTCTTGAAAGAAGGGAAAGGGAGTTGGTTTGGTGGTAAGGTATTGGAATGTTTTAGCTTTATTGTTGTTTATTGCATGGATTTCTAATATGACGTTGCTAGGTACGATAAACCATGAGTCACCGTGAAAATCTGCCACTCTCATACTTTGCTCATCGTCACCTTTAGATGTAGTATAAAACTCACATATTTCCCGAGTTAGTTCCGGAATATTTCCAGCAGCTGTATCTACGAATAATGGTGCACATATTTCACATAAAACGCTTACGGGAACTCGTTCGGACGCGTTGAATTTGAAATGGTCTTGAATCTCTTTAGAAAACATCATATGCAACATATTCCCCTCTCCATCTGATGTTCCTGATATGAAATCGATACTACGGAAAAAGCTATAAACTTTGTCGTCCCAAGACTTTGGATGTGCCAAATTCTCTTTGATCAATACACCGTCAACTGATGGAACCATGCTACCTAGTTCAAAACTTAGATTCAAAGGTTTTTGAAATTCCATCGAAATTCCATCTATTGCTGCTGTTAAATTTTCTGCCGGTATGTCTCGCAAGCAGCTTAGAGTTTCTGCAATATCTTCTTTACCTGTGCAATTCAATTTTTGTAGTACCAAATCATTGGTTCGTTTTTCTTCTTGTCGCCTTGAAATAGAAAAAAATGAAACTACTCCACTTTGTGAAATGGCTCTTTGAAAAAGACCTTTGTTTGATGGGATAATTGTTTGAAGACTGACGCTCATAGCACCCGCTGACTGTCCAAATATAGTTACTGATTTTGGATTGCCTCCAAATGCTGCAATGTTATTCTGAATCCATCGAAAAGCCTCGATCTGATCCCAAAGTCCATAATTTCCGGGTGCTAGAGGGTCTTGCAGTGTCAAGAATCCCAGAAGACCTAATCTATAATTAATGGTAACAACGATTACATCTCCTCCTAGAACTAGCTTCTGAGGTTTGTACTGACTAGCTCCACCAAAAACAAATCCCCCGCCATGAATCCAAACCATCACAGACAGATTTCTATCTTTACAAATTTTTCCAGGTACATATATATTTAGATATAGACAATCTTCGTCGGTTTCCAGTGCATCAAATCCAGGCATTGGGTACGCTGTTTGAGAACATTGAGGAGCATTTACATCTCGAACACCCTCCACTCCTTCCCATTCTCCAATGGGTTTTGTTTTCTGGAAACGCAAATCTCCTACTGGAGGTTGAGCATAAGGAATTTTTACGAATCTGTAAACCTGCCCTTCGTTATGTAGTTCCTCGTATCCTCTGACCCAACCAGAGGGGGTTTTGATCTCCACTACATTAATTACATCAGAACCAAACGCAAAAGTGACCACGCATATCACAACACATATTAACGGATTATGGTTCATTTTTGACGTAGATGACGTAGAAATGTCTGAAATAAAAGACAGAATAGCTTATTAAGTTAGGAGAAATTAAATATATACACTAGAATATAAATCGTCACAAGGAACAAATACACATGTTAAAAATGATTTTAAAAATTACAATTTTGTAGATGAGGTTAAAGATTTAAATTTTATATTTCTTGCTTGACAGGAGGATAGAAATAGAAATGTTTATAGTGGGAAAAGCTCATGAAGAAGACCCTTGAAAGTTCTGTCAAGGAAATCGTGTGAACATGAAATTTGCTAGATTTCATTATTATCTTGACTGATATAAATGTGAAAATGTTTACATCACACTGAATCAAACTTTTGTCGTTCAAAACTTAAAATGTTAACGTGTCAAAGTTGAAGATATACTATTTTTTTTTTTAATTCAGTATAAAAGTTAGTTAATGAGGTGATTATTAATTTAATTACAGAGTTCAGAATTATACACGTCAGATATCACACAAAATTTAAAAAACAATGTCATTACATGTGAGTATTTTTAATGCAATTTCAAAAAGGGAGCATACAGGCCACTTGACAAAAAAAATATACATTTGCACTGGAAGTGACTGGTGTGGAAAATTGCAGAGAGCGGTGATCCACTTCAAAAATCGAAGGCCAATTATAATAAGCGAATTCAAATCTCATTATTCAGCATATATTTTTTTCGTACATATTTAAAGGTTCTTATAGATAAAATGATCATTAGAAATAAAATAAATATTCGTGCTTCATCAGATTTTTAAAAGCAAAATAATTTCAAAGAGTAAATAAATAACTTAAATGGTTAATATTATTTCCCGGGCCAAAATCAGCAAAGGAAACAAAATCAAACAGACAGCAAGAAAAATCAATTGACACAAGCATAAAAGATATCAGGCCGCAAAGGCATTTTACCTAAGAATGTGTACTGGAAAAATAAAGTTTAAAGGTCAACTTAATTCTTAGAGATATAAACAGAATGAGAAATAAAAATGCTTGTAAAACTGTCACTGCGTATGGCGAGGGAATATGACTTCCCACCACATTTGCATTCCTTTGAGATTTAGTTTTAGTCAAACACGGCAAGCACGGGGGAATTTCTACACCAAAAAATGACCAAACGTAAGAAAATCCGTTACAACAACTTTTTCCGTTTAGATTGTTTTGTTTTAATACGTGGGAAATACATAAGCAATGAAAACCCCTGACAGTGCAGACGACCAGGAAACGTTTATAAAAATAGATCGGCTTTGCTTACGATGCATGTTGTTTACATGTCTGACCTGCGTTATTCCCCGTGTCTTGCTGATCAGACAGCAGACGTCAAGACAATAGAACATACAAATTCTGTACAGATTTAAAATCAATCTAGATATTTCATGATGTCTAGATGTTTCACACTTACCTGTTTCACTGTGATAAGCTGTTATGTGCTGCAATCCTGTGTTGGCTTGATTAAAAAAAAAACGACTGAGCAAGCCGTATCCGTGATATTAAAATAAACTCGGCGATCTATATATTAACCTTAACGAGAGGGAATTATTGAATGGGTATTTTTAGTTATGACCCACGTAGTGTCCTCTTTTGAAAACCCTTATAAGGAAATGTCTAACATGTACTTATTTGGTCACATATTTGCACAAATTAAGAAATAGTAAAAACCAGTTTACGGAAAAGCCATTTATTTTTAAATGTTCTTATTTGGTTATGTTTTATATATAAAGAATCTACAGATTAGATATACTTGTATTTTAAAAAATACAATTAAAAGCATTTTGAAACAAATTCTATAAGGGAGCAAATTAGAGGGGGGTACATTTTCTCTTCCTCTGTAGACACGGCACTTTGACAAGTCAGCGTAAACTTGAATTATCAGGTAGATGACCCCCCTCCCCCATGACATTTTCCAATTTGGTGTTCTTTAGACCTCTTTCTTTAAATTCCATTTCATTTTATTTCTTTTTCTTTTATTGAAAGAGACACTGTGATCGACGGACAAACGGGAAAATTGACAGAAGTAGAATTTTTGCAAGACACCTGCAAATTTTATTCAAATCTTGAAAGTATTAGGTTTCAGAAAAATATAGATTTCAAAACCTAAAAAATCTACTTTTGATGAGAAAAATATAAGTAAAAATAATTTTAGTTTGCCCCAACAGTAAAATATTGCTTCACTTCTTCCTCTTTAAGGTACGCATGCGCAGAAAAGTTGACGAAATTACCATGGTATCAATTCCATAGATATAAATGTCGGATGACCGAGAATTTTGATATAATCTTCAGGTATCTTATCTGCTCATGAATAAAAATGGATATAAAGAATAAAATAATTTTTTTTAAATAAATAAATAAAAACAAACAAGTAGACTAACTGTTTACAGAGGAATTAGTGGCCTTTCCACCTTCAGTATAAAAAGGGAAAAATGCAAGAGCATAAGTAGGATACAACAAATGCTCTTTCTTCTAGCAGGAATAAACACCCCGCACTGTGGGCATATTTGTTTGTTAAACAATGTAGTGCCGAGTATAAAATAGTTATGAGATACAGGATTGATGTAAAATAAAACTGCTGAAATTTCTGATAAACTTCTTATTTAAGTTGTTTTATGTTTTAAAAGAATTAAGATAGTCCGTTTAGAGCCTGTGAAATTTAGTTTTTTTGTGTGTGTGTGTGTGTGTAAATATGATAAAAAGAACTTAGAGAAGGTCTGGTTCGGGACTGAATATTAGGAAATAATAAGTTGGATTAAACTAAGCATTTTTGAATTAAATGCAACTAGCATAGATTAAATTCAAACTTGCATCTTAGTAAGTAAAAAATGAAAAAGTGAAATCCTATTTAATAACGCTATTTCTCGAGACTGATAAATTCTAAATAAAATTCTAAATAAATTCAAAAAAAAGGAGAATTCATGACAGGAAAATTATCGATCATAGCAAAGGAATTGAATGCCAAAGCTTTCTTGCCATGTTTACAACGGCCTACCAAAATCAAGCGACTCTGTACCTTTGGTCTTAAGAAGTGAATGTAATGTTTTTCTTTGACCGAAGTATCAAAGAAAAATTTGGACGGAAAATATCGACAAATGATGCTGAATATTATCAACATTGATTGAAGATCGACAAGTGATGCTGAATATTATCAACATTGATTGAAGATCGACAAATGATGCTGAATATTATCAACATTGATTGAAGATCGACAGATGATGCTTAATATTATCAACACTGATTGAAGATCGACAAATGATGCTAAATATTATCAACATTGATTGAAGATCGACAAATGATGCTTAATATTATTATGCGCAATAATTCTTTGTTGCCTTTTATCATTAACTTGCCAATGTAAGGAACACAAAGAAAAATGAGAATAGAAAGTAGATTTAATAAAAATACCCAATGACATTTCTAAACTTTTGATAAGTACACACCGGATATATATCATTAAATCAAACTGCATTGCAAATTTGCAATTTCCAAGAGCCCTCCTCCACCCCAAGGGATGTTATAAATATTTCTTAATTTCTAATTAATGCATCGTATTTTGATATGCAATTTTTTCCCGAAAGTCATTTTTTCTGTCGTCCTACTTGATGCCCATATATAAAAAATATGCTTGGGAACGTTCGTGACATTTAAGTCTACGTTCAAATTGACTAGCGCTATTTTCACTTCCTTGATCAATGTCTAGAAATGTTTTCAATCAAGTGAATTTTAGAACTTTGAATTGATATTAACCGTTTTCAAAAATCATATTAGGTTGTATATCTGAAGTAAAATTCTGGAAACTCAACGTTACACATCACATATACGAGGGTTGTTCGGTAAAATCATGGACAAATTTTCTATAGTAAAAAATAATCAACACTGCTTTCTAAAATTTCCTCTAATCTTTTGTACATTTTTCATCAATATACATAGCAAAATTGTAATATGCTGAAATAAACAAAATATGGGATTTTATGTTATGTATCATGTTATGTGTTATGTTCAAAAAAAAGTATCAAAACTGAGAAGTGATGTTGAAGAATTTCATCTTTTGAAAAGGGAAGTGTGAGTATTTTGCAAATGATCTCTAAGCGCATCCGGTTAATCCGACGGTAAATCTCATATATTTCATAATTATTTCAAAGGATCAATTTCTAGCTATTTGTAGAGTACATAGCATTCTAAGATAAATATTAGCTATAACTCTTTAAAACTTTCTACTGGATTTATGATATTGATCACATTTCATTGTCTTCACATTTTACACATTAAAGATAAGCGAGTACTAAAGATTATTGCTGCTATAATTCGTCATGCATAACTTTAGGTCGCCCTTTTTCAAGAATCTTTTTTAATAAATCTGTTTCATCAGGCTTAAGATTTTCTCCTTCTGTTATTGGAGTGTCCAGAATCGCATATTTTTTGGTGACAGTATTAAAATAGGGCCACTTTGGAAGGTCTTCTGAAATTGGATCACTAGAAAGATAAAAAAAAAATTAGACAACTTATTTGAATTACATTAAAATAATTAGGAATATGTATGCAAATGAAAATTCATGGGAAATGTTGAAAACCAGAAATTAATGAAAGCTAAGTTTTTTTTTTTCTTTTATATTTGAGAACATGTAAGCTTTTGGTTTTTGAGAGCATCTAAAAATCATTACCTACCCATACTTGGCAAAATTAGTCCAATACTTAATGACGTCTTTAGACAAGTTTTCTACAGCCCCTAGGTCATGTTTTTTATGTGGTTCATAATTGATGTATAAATGTCTGAAATAGAAAAATAATTCTTTTATGAGACAGTTGCTTAGCAAGGTATCAATAGGAATTCAGTATAAACGTTTGAATATGATTTGTGAGGATAAGCATGTTAAACATGTTAAATTTGTACGCTATTAAAATTCATATCTTTGTAGGAGAGTTCAAGAGCAATTTGTTTTGTTTGACATATGAATAGATGAAAAAGCGCTGTGATGGGAAACTTGGTCAATGTATATGCATGGCATGTGCAGTATAACACCATACTATATAGTCTATTTATAGCCCCTATATAATCTATACAGACGAAAACGGTTCATAACACTATACTTACTATACCTCTACTGTTATTACTCAATGTAGTAAATGAAAGAAGGCACTATTTCCCCCATCTGCATACTACTCCCTGTAAAATCAGATTCACTCCCTGGGAGTATTCCCTCATTTATATTCATTAATATTTTTAACCAGTCGAAATGCTCATTGGGCCAAGCGTTCAAGGAATCTCGGGACTGCGACGTAATGTTATTAGCAATGTAACTATGACGTCAAAACATTTCGACATGCGATGAAAAAATCATACTGGAATTATTTAAGAAATAAGCTACATTTTTAAACTTTTATCGGAATGTAAATTCGGGTTGGTCTTGTAATAAAATCCAATAAATCCGGAAGGGCTTTATAGTAGATATAATCACGTTCCAACCCATATTAACATCCCAATAAAAGTTTAATAATGATACCTTATTACTTATATTTACATTTGTGACTGATTTATTACAAATACTTAGGTACTTAAGTTTTAAAACCATAATATACAGATATGGAATGGGTATGAGGGAAATAGCAAATTTATGGTTCCCCGAGGGAGGAAACTATTTCCCGAGGCGGCGAAACTGTTTTATTATACCGAAACAAACAAAGGAGATTTATTAACTAGAGTCTTAGACATTTTTAAAACAATATAGAGGCATTTATATAAATAATCAAAAATGCGCGTGATTCCAATTTTGTTAAATATGTAATGCATCAATACGGAAAAAATAAAATTATTTTTCAAAAAATAATAATTTCACTAACATTTCGAAGGATTATCGTTGTCCTCATTTTGCTTAGAAATTTCAGTATGATTTTGACATCGCATGTCGAAATGTTTTGACGTCTTAGTTACATTGCTAATAACATTACGTCACGGACTCGAGATTCCTTGAACGCTCCGCCCACTGTTCATTTTAATTGGTTAAAATTAATAATAAATATTCATGAGGGAGTAGTCCCAGGGAGTAGCTCTGATTTTTCAGGGAGTAGTCCTCAGATGGGGAAAATAGTATTTTCTCGGGGAAATAGACAGATTTATGGCATTAATTTTATATAGAGTAATAAGAGTAGAGGTATAATAAAACGGTGTTGAACACGTCGATCACTTATGACGTCACTATGATATTACGTAGATCGTTTATGACTAAACAATCAATTATTGGTCACATAACGAACCTGTTTATACACAAGTGTAAAAACGCCTTGCTCAAATAGTGTTAAATAAGGGAAAACATTTCCAAATGTAAATATAGTAAAATGATGAGCACGCGTACGATAATTCTTTAAAATATCTGTGAAATTATTTTATTTTTTAATATTTTTTTCAGAACTGATGCATTAGATATGTAACAAAATTTTAGGTACATGTTTTTTGTGTTATTTGAATGCATCTATATTGTCTAAAGATGTCCGAGTGT